GATAAGTTATTTACTAATAAACGTTCGTTGCTGCGGTCTTCTTCCTCTTCTGCTGTTGCTGCTGCTGCAGCAGCAGCAACAGCTGCTGCTGCTGCGCCAATGGCAAAGGAAAAACAGCTTGCTGCAAGATCGGCACATGCAGCAAAAGATGCAGCAACAGCGCACAGCAGATCTGCTGCAGCAGTAGCTGCCGCAACAGCTGCAGCAGCTGCAACACATCGAACCCCTCATGCTGCTGTTGCTGCAGCACCTTCTGCTTCCGTGGGTTCTGCCAAGGCTGCAGGTGCAGCAGCAGCAGCAGCAGCAACAGCAGCAAGCGAGCCAGATGGCCGTGGCGGCGTTCCCACAAACCCTCCCACCAGCATTCGGCCCAGCAGCAGTAGCAGCAGCAGCGCCCGGAGTAGCAGCAGCAGCAGCAGTACAAGGGCCAGTAGCAGCAGCAGCAGCAGCAACAGGACCAGCAGCAGCAGCAGCAGCAGCAGCAGCAGCAGGACTCGCATGCAGGGATGGGGGGAGGAAGCAGCAATTCGTTTAAAAGCGCAGCTAAGCGATGTGTGGAGTTTTGGCATCGCCATCTGTGAGCTTGTTAAGGGAGGAGGTTGCTGCTGCTGATGCTGCTAAAGCAGAAACTCCACAAGCTGAGCCCGGCCGTGAAGAAATCTCCCCTGAGAAAGCTGTGACAGCTGCAGCAGCAGCAGAAGCAGCAGAAGCAGCAGCAGCAGCAGCAGGTGCATCATGCAATGCTGAGGCGTCCCCAAACAAGGGTGTTGCTGTCTCTCCTGCTGCAGCAGCAGCAGCAGCTGCTGCTGCTGCTCCTAAGGCAAGGAGAGGCCCGTCGCCTGCTGCTGCTGCCAAACGCGGAACACGCAGCGCCTCCCAAAGAAATGCAGCAGCAGCAGCAGCTGCTGCTGCTGCACCAGCAGCTGCCAGGAAGCGGAAGGCTTTTGGTTCTGCAGGGAGTGCTGCTGCTGCATCTGCTGCTGAAGGAGGCTCTAGCCCAGAAACAGCAGCAGCAGCAGCAGCAGCAGAACCAGCAGCAGCAGCTCCGCGGCTTACAGGAAAGAAGAGAGGAGCAGCAGCAGCAAAACAGGCGGCGGCAAAGAAACCTGCAATGGAAGAAGCAAACGAAGTTGGGGGATCTGCAGCAGCAGCAGCAACAGCAGCAGCAGCAGCAACAGCAGCAGCAGCACCAACAACAACAACAGCTGCAGCAGCAGCAACAGCCGCAGGTGGAGGCCCAGTGGGCGATGCTGTGGATATTGAGGTGTCTGGGAGGAACTGTAAACCCAACAGTACCACAACCAGCAGCAGCAGCAGCAGCAGCAGCAGTACTAGCAGCAGCAGCAGCAGCAGCAGCAGCAGGAGCAGCAGCAAGCTATGTTTGCCTCCTTGTATAATGCAGTGGGTAGCAGCAGATGCAACATATAGTTTATATTGGGCAGCAGTTCATGAGATTATTGCTCATCTAGGCTTAGGCCTCTTCCAGACACCAAGGCAGCAGCAGCAGCAGAAGCAGCAGCAGCAGCAGCAGCAGCAGCAGCAGCAGCAGCAGCAGCAGCACATGCAGCAGCAGATGGAGGAACAAGTACAAGAAAGGGAACAAAAGGAGCAACAGCAGAAAGAGCAGCAGCAAATTATACAGATGCAGCAGCAACAACAGCAAATACACCAGGAGCTACAGCTACATCCACTGCCGCTGCAACAGGAACAGCCGCAGCAGCAGCAGCAGCAACTGCAGCAGCAGCAGCAACTGCAGCAGCAGCAGCAGGATCACGAGCAGGAGCAGCCAGTTGCTGTTGGCATTGGATCTGAAGATATGCTGCAGAAGGGCATTAGTGGTTTAGCTTCCTCTTCTCAGCACCAGCAGCAGCAGCAGCAGCAGCAAGTGCAGCAGCAGCAGCAACAGAAGCAGCAGCAAATACAGCAGCAGCACCAGCATCATCACCAACAGCACAAGCACCATCACAATCACCCACACCACCCACAGCAGCAGCAGCAGCAGCAACAGCAGCAGCAGCAACAGCAGCAGCAGCAGCAGCAGCAGCAACAGCAGGTGGAGCCTATATGGCGTCAGCTACGTGCAGTGCATGCAGCGCAGCAGGAGCAGCAATTTGCTGCACTAGAGGAGGTGTGGGGTCGTATATGGAGTGTACGTGCAGGTGATGCTGAGGTGTATAGGCAGCTAGATAATAAACAATTAAGAAGACTTGTTCTTAGTCTCCTTCTTAATAAACAATTATATGCTACTTGCTCAGGACAGTAAGTGCCTCCTGCTGCTGCTGCTGCTGCTGCTGTTGCTGTTGTTGTTTTTGTTGTTTGCTGTTGTTGTTGCTGCTGTTGCACGTGCTGTAGACCATTGCTGCTTTTGCTGCTGTTGCTGCTGCTGTTGCTCAATGGCAATATGTTTCCTTTTGCTGCTGCTGCTGCAGTTGTGTCTCTCATTGCTGTGTGTTGTTGCTGTTGCTGTTACAGTGCCTCCGCCCGGGCTGCTGCACTGCAGCAGCAGCAGCTGCAGCAGCAGTACAGCCGCTGCAGCAGCAGCTTCTGGTGTCTCCTTGCTCATCTCTTAGCCTTCGACCCGCAGCAAAGACTTCTTCTTCCTGAGGCCCTTGGGCACCCATGGTTTAACCCCATAGACCAGCAGCAGCAGCAGCAGCAGCAGCAGCAGCAGCAGCAGCAGCTGGAGCAGGAGAGGGAGCAGCAGGAGTCACAGATGGATAAGGTAGAGGAACTGCCACTTGATGCAACAGCAGCAGCAGCAGCAGCAACTGCAGCAACTGCAGCAGGAGCAACTGCAGCAAGCAACGCCTCTCACGCTGCCGATACCCAAGACCACATCACCACTACCACTACCACCACCACCACCACCACCACCACCACCAGCAACAGCAGCAGCAGCAGCAGCAGCAGCAGCAGCAGCAGCAGCAGCAGCAGCAGCAATGTATTTGAATTGATAGATAATCTTCCTGGTTATTTATCTTTTCATCTTGAGGCAGAGCACAACCCCAATAGACCCCTCCGTCTTCGTTATAATATACCTCCTAAGGGGCCCCCGCTGCAGCAGCTGCAGCAGCAGCAGCAACAGCAACAGCAACAACAGCAGCAGCAGCAGCAGCAGTTGCAACAGTTGCAACAGCAGCAGATACAGCAGGCAAAGAGCATTCTTGCACTTTCTCCTTCTGCAACACGCCGCGGAGGGACACCCAGTAGAGGTGCAACGCCCCCGCCAGCAGCAGCAGCAGCAGCAGCAGCAGCAGGCGAAGAGTCAGCAGCAGCAGCAGCAGCAGATGATGATGATAACCCTCCCACCCTCTACCGACTGTATGGCAGCGTGCAGCGCAAGCCCCACGCCTGGTTCTGTGGGGCCCTCTTTGGCATGCAGGAGCAGCAGCTAAAGCTGATGCTTAATGGCCCGCAGCAGCAGCAGCAGCAGCAGCAGCAGCAGCAGCAGCAGCAGCAAAAGCAGCAACAGCAGCAGAAGCAGCAACAACAGCAGCAGCAGCAGGACGTTAGCGACAGCAATGACAAAGAAAACCAAAAGATTCAAACAGACGGAGACAAAACTTTGTTAGAGCAGCAGAATCTGCTGCTGCAGCAGCAGCAGCAGCAGCAGCAGCAGGACCCATCCAAGTGTACAACTAGACATACCAGCAGCAACAGCAGCAGCAGCATTAGCCGTTACAGCAGCAAGGAAGACATGGCACCATGGCAGTTTGCTGCTGCACTTCCTGCTGCAGTATTAGCTGTAGCAAGACAAGAAGCAACCGTGCTGCAGCAAGTAGAGGAAAATATCTACAGCAGCAGCGGTTTGCTGCTGCGGTTGCTGCTAGCATGGAAGCAGCAAAAGGGTGTTACTTGGGGGGAATGCTGCTCCTCTGCTGCTGCACATTATCTAGGGAAGCTGCTGCTGCGTTATAGGGCAGCTAAGAGAAAACGCAGCAAAGCTGCAGCTGCAGCAGCAGCAGCAGCAGCTGCTGCTGCTGCTGCTGCTGTTGCTGCACCGAAACAGCCACCTCATATGCCACGAGCACACATTACTACAGACCACAAGGGTGGCTCTAGCAGCAGCAGCAGCAGCAGCAGCAACAGCAACAGAACGAAGCGCTCTTTGCATGCAGGGGAACTACCCGAGGGTGTTGGGGCTGTTCAGCCTAGCAGCAACCCATCAGCAGCAAAAAGGCAACGACCAGCTGCAGCAGCAGCAGCTGCAGCAGCTGCTGCTGCCCCTACTGCTGCAGCACCTGCTGGTGCAGCAGAAGTGCCCGCTGCAGACCCGCCTGTCTGTTGACACTGCTCTTGTTGCTGCAGCAGCTGCTGCAGCAACACCACCTGCAGCAGCAGCAGCAGCAGCTATTGCTAGAGCTGCTGCTGCTGCTGCTGCTGCAGAAATTTTAGCGTATATCCGTTTTGGCTGCAGCAGGCGCGAGTCGCGCGCGTGCTGCAGATGTTGCAGCAGCAGGTGCTGCTGCAGTTGTTGCAGCAGGTGCTGCAGGTGCTGCAGCAGCAACAGCAGCAGCAGCAGCAGTGCCGTGGCAACAAACTCAAGGCTGCTTTCTTGTCTTTCTTTTCTTAAATTTAAACTTGCGGTGTATCCATAGCATGCAGACACACCACCAGTATAGTGCTGCTGCTGCTGCTGCTGCTGCTGCTGTTGCTGTTGCTGCTGCTGTTGCTGCTCTGCCATAGCCCTCCCACGTCTGCTGCAGCAGCAGCAGCAACTGCTGCTACATTGCAGGTTATTGTAACCTTTTACTGCCTGATGGCAGCAGTTTAGACAGCAGCACGTGCTGCAGCAGCATTTGCTGCAGCAGGTAGTGCTGCAGATGCAGCAGCAGGTGCTGCTGCAGATGCAACAGCAGGTGCTGCTGCATTTACCTGCATGCACGTTGCAGCAAGAAGACAGCAGCAGCAACAGCAGCAACTATAAAGTATTTTCTTGTTGCTCTTATTTGTTCTTTTCTTCTTATTGCTGCTGCTTGCCCTCTGTGTGTCTGTGCTGCTGCAGTTGTTTCCGTTGCTGCTGTTGCTGCTGCTGCTGCTGCTGCTGACGCCTGCTGCTGCAGCAGCAAATTCTCCGCTAGCAGCGCACAAAGAGATTCTGCTTGACGGCAAGTGTCATCTATTGCAGCAATATCGCTGTCTGCTGCTGCTGCTGCTGCTGCTGCTGCTGCTGCTGCTGTTGCTGGTGCTGCTGCTGGTGTTGCTGCTGTTGTTGCTGCTGTTCCTAACATTGTGTGGTCCAGCAGCCACCAGCTTGAGGCACTCGCCTCCCCCTGCTGCTGTTGCTGCTGCTGCTGCTGCTGCTGCTTCTGCCCTCCAGGGGAAAAGGGCCAGATGCTGCTGCTGAATCCCCAGCTGCTGCATGCATCTGCTGCCGTTGTTGCTGCTGCTGCTGCTTCTGGTTCAGCAGAGTTGGGGTGATATAGGGGTTGTGGCGCACTCCTAATATTGCACAAGGCCGTGCTGCTGCTGCTGCTGCTGCTGCTGCTGCTGCTGCTGAGTTCCTGAAGAGCAGAGCCACCTGGCTGCTGCAGGCGTAGCTGCTGCTGCTGTTGCTGCTGCTGAATACCTTTACGGGAAGATATACCCCATGCATCCTGCAGCAGCGAGCGACCACCTAAAGGGGATAGCTGCTGCTGCTTCTGCTGCTGCCGTTGCTGTTGCTGCTGCTGCAGCATGCAAATGCTCTGTGGTAGGGAAATGGCTGCAGAGGACAGCTGCTGCTGCTGCTGCAGCAGCAGCTGCTGCATCCATTCTTTTAAATTAGCTGCGACGAATACACTGCTCTTGTTGCTGCTGTTGCTGCTGCTGCTGCAGTTCTGCTGCAGCGCCTGGTGCTGCCGCTGCAGCTGCTGCAGCAGAGATGTTGCAGCAGCAGCAGGAAGTGCAGCAGTTGTCACTGCAGCATACAACCATTTGCCCGCCCAAGATGAATCTCCTGCAGCAACAGCGCTGTTGCTCTCGCTGCTGCTGCTGTTGCTGCTGCTGCTGCTGCTGCTGGGCCGCAGCACAGACAGGCGGGAGCCTTCTCCATAGGGCCAGCTGTCTATAACCTCCGCGGTGTCTGCTTCCTGCAGCAGCAGCAACAGCACATGACAGCAGCAGCAGCAACCTGTGAACCTCTGCTGCAGCAGCAGGAAGAGCAAATACAGGAGCAGCAGCAGCAGTACAATCGGCAGCAGCAGCAGCAGCAGCAGTTGAGCCTACGCAGCAGCAGGTGCAGCTTACCCGTTGTACAGCCCTTGCTGCAGCAAGAACAGCTCTGTCTGCAGCAGCAGCAGCAGCAGCAGGTAGCTTTGCTGCTGCTGCTCGTAACCAGACCCAAGGGCCTCCAGGTCCTTCTAAGGATATAACAGAGAGATACACTGCAGCAGCAGCAGCAGCAGCACTAACCTCCATAGGGTTTAGGGTTTAGGGTTTAGTAGTCTGTATGTCTAAGGGAATGTTAACAACAGCAGCAGCAGCAACTGCAGCAGCAGATGCTCGTAAGGCTGTTGCTGCGATTGCTGCAGTAGCAGTTGCTGCAGCAGAAGATATATTGCTAACGCTGCAGCAGCAAAAGCTGCTGCAGCAGCAGCAGCAGCTAGAGATCAGATGAGGGAGTTATCTCTCCTATGTCTTGTATTTATATTTGCTTCTTCTGCTGCTGCTGCTGTTGCTCTGCTGCTGCTGCTGCTGCTGCTGCTGCTGTTCCTGTTGGGGGGCCCCCCTACCTGCTGCGATGCAGCAGCAGCAGCTGCAGAAATAAGACTAACTTGCTGCATGCAAAGAAATAAAAATAATAAAAATAAAAATTAACTAATTAATTAATTTAATTAAATTTAATTATTTATTTCTTTTTTTTGTTCAACCTGCAGCAACTCGACAGAATCTTAGGGGCTGCAGCAGTAGGAGCAGCAGCAACAGCAGCAGCAGCAGCAGCAGCAGCAGCAGCTATTACTCTGCAATAGATATTTGCTGCATTGAAATCACAAAATATCTGAATTATAAACCTCTTATTTAACCTCCTTCTGCTGCTGCTGCTGCTGCAGCAGCAGCAGCAGCAGCAGCAATTGTGATGGGTTTCAACGCATGGCAGCAGGAGCAGGAGCAGCAGCAGCAGCAGATCTTCCAATAAACTGCTAGATCCTTGGGCTCATAAAAACAGCAGCAGCAGTAGTTGCTGCTGCAGAATCTTCAGCAGCAGCAGAAGCAGCAGCTGCAGCAGCTGCACAGCAATCCTATCTCAGCAGCAGCAACAAGAGCAGCAGAAGCAGCAGCAGCAGCAAATTTTTGTATAATTAGAGTGGGGAAGCTGCTGTGGGGCTGTGCCCCTCTCCTGTTAAAATGGCGCGAAAGCAGCAACAGCAGCAGCAGCAGCCGCAGCAGCAGCAGCAGCAGCAGCAGCGACCGCAGCAGCAAATGGAGACAATAGGATGCAGCAGAACAAAACAGAAAAAATTTCTTCAATTTAAGGCATCGCTGCTCTCTCCGTTTATCTCTCCATGGTCTGCTGCTGCTGCTGCTGGTGCTGCTGCTGTTGCTGCTGCTGCTGCTGTTGTTTCTGCTGTTGTTGCTGCTGCTGCTGTTGTTTCTGCTGTTGTTTCCGTTGCTCCTTTTGCTGTTGCTGTTGGTGTTGCTGTTGTTGTTGCTGCTGTTGAGGTAGAGCAGCAGCTACTTCTCGTGCTGCAGTTGCAGCAGCAGCATCTCTCCTGCAGCAGCAGCAACAGCAGCAGCAGCTTGTATTTATATTTGTGCTGCAGGCCTTTGTCTATTGGCAATGCTGAGGAGGAGATTACTTCCTTAATTGAACAGTAAACCAATCACTCCCTCCCTGCTGCTGCTGCTGCTGCTGCTGCTGCTGTTGCTGTTGCTTTTGTTGCCGCTGCTGCTGCTTCTCTTGCTGCTGCTGCTGCTGCTGCTGCACACTGTCTGTGTTAGTGCTTAGATGGTTTGCTGCTGCTGGTAGATCTCCCCTATATTGGCTGCGTGTTTTATTGATGTTGCTGCTGTTGCTGCTGTTGCTGCTGCTGTTGCTGCTGCAGAATGTGTGCTGCTGCTGCAGCATCTGGTGTTCGTCTTCGAGCAGCAGCAGCAATTGGCTTCAATGCATGCGCAGCAATATTAGAGCAGCAGGCTGCTGCTGCAGCAGCAACACCAGCAGCAGCAGCAACACCAGCAGCAGCAGCATCCCCAGCTGCTCATATTGAAGCAGCACAACCAGCAGAATCAACAGCACCAACAGCAGCAGCAGCAGCAACAGCAGCAGCAGCAGCAGCAGATATTGCTGCTGTTGTATGTATTTGCTGCTCTCCTGCTGAGGGAGGGTTGAGGGGGTTTGGTGTGCAGCAGCTGCTGCTGCTGTCTTCTATACTTAATATACCTGCTGTACTTATACGTAATAAGGAGTAAGCTACCTGCTGCTGCTGCTGCTGCTGTTGTTGTTGTTGCTGCTGCTGCTGTTGATTTGTGTGCTGCTGCTGCGTTCTGCTTGATCTGCAGCAGCAGCAGCAACAGCAAACTCCCCGTTGAGGTATCGCCGATGCTACTGCGTATACATTGCTGTTGCTGCTGCTGCTTTTACTGTTACTCCTGCTGCTGCTGCTGCTGCTGCTTACATTAGTTGTTGCTGCTGTTTGCATGCAGATGCAAGAGGCGAATTGCTGCTGCTGTTGGTCTTCCTACAACTTTAGCTCTTGGGGTGTACAGGGAGCTGCGGCACTGCTGCTGCAGCGCTGCATCCCAACAGCCACTGCAGCAGCAGCAGCAGCAGCAGCAGCAGCAGCAGAGTGCTGTTAACGCCAGCAGCAGCAGCAGCAGTGCAGGTGCTCAGGAGACGCCAGCAGAGGGAAAGTGCGGTCAAGAGACAACAACAACAGCAGCAACAACAACAGCAGCAGCAGCAGACTCTGCGCCCTTAAACAGCAACTGCAGCGAGGGTGCTTCTTGTCAGCAGCAGCAGCAACAGCAGCAGCAACAGCAGCAGAAGACACAGCAGCAGCAATTTGTTGAGGAGCAGCAGAAAGCCCTTATTAATGCAGTTGCTAGGTACGGTCCTCCGCAGCAATTGCCCTTCATGCTGCTGCAGCGACCTCAGCAGCAAAAGCAGCAGCAGCAACAACAACAACAACAACAACAACAACAACAACAACAACAACAGCAGCAGCAGCAGCAGCAGCAAGTGCTGCAGCTGCTGCCACCACGTGTCTTGGCATTTGCTGCTGCTTATAGACCTAAAGAAAGTAAGATAGGAACTAACAGAAGACAAAGAAGAGCAGCAAGAAAAAATAGACGGAAGGCACAAAGACAAGAACTTGCTGCTGCTGCTGCTGCTGCTGCTGCTGCTGCTGCAACAGCAGCAGCAACAACTGATGCTGCTGCTGCACCATCCAATGGAGCAGCAACTGCTGCACCTAATGCGGAAACAACGCAGACGGCTGCTGCAGCAACTACTGCTGCAGCAACTACTGCTGCAACAACTACTGCTGCAGCAACTACTGCAGCAACTACTGCTGCAGCAACTACTGCTGCAACAACTACTGCAGCAACTACTGCTGCAGCAACTACTGCTGCAACAACTACTGCAGCAACTACTGCTGCAACAACTACTGCTGCAGCAACTACTGCTGCTGCAGCAACTACTGCTGCTGCAGCAACTACTGCTGCTGCAGCAACTACTGCTGCTGCAGCAACTACTGCTGCTGCAGCAGAAACTACCGCAGCAGGAACAACTACTGCAGGAGCAGCACCTGATGCAGGAGCAACAAGTGCTGCTGCAGCAACACCTACTGCAGCAGGGGCACCTGCTGCAGGAACAGCTGCTGGTGCAGCAGCTGTTGCTGCTGTAGCAGCACACAGTGCTGCTGCAGCTACTGCAGCGCCTCCACCTGCTGCTGCTGCAGAGCATGCACCAGCAGGTGCAGCAGCAAATCCAGCAGCAGCAGCTGCTGCTGCTGCTGCGGGGGAGGCTGCAAGCAGTGGCACCTAGTAATGATTTACTAACAACTCCGTTTGCTGCAGC